CGGAAGAATATATAAGATGTATTTATTGTTGATATATCACTATGGAAGCACTCATGACTGTCAAATTAATTTCTACAGAATAAGATTAAAACATAAACCTATATTTCTACATGTCATTCCAAGCGTCTGAGGACAGGCATCGAGTTAGTTCGCTGCCAAATAATAATTTTCGTTGGAATTTAATTGCTTTTGGTTTGCGCGCTTCTGGTACTGCAGTTGGGCTACCAACCAGTTAATCGATCCGATATGAAACGTCTTCTTGTGAAATAATATACTTTGATGCAGAATTCCTGAAATATAATGTCCCTTTTCACCGAAAAGGGACAGGTATGTCGATGTCAATTAGTGTGAACAAGTAACTCCATACTATATGTCGGTTTTAAAAAATCAATAAAGTGTTGAAGAAGAGTCTTTAGGACAAAAACGAGTCGTATACGTTCGAAACAGTGTCAAAATGGACTTCAAGGGATTTAGCAGGTTATATCTCAAAATCATGCCTACGAAATAGCAAACACGTGTATCGACAGCATGTTTGATCAGGATATGAGTCATGTAGGTAAAAAAGGATGATCAACTGATATTGTCACTGAATTGCATCTCAGTTGATCTGTCCTAATAGATTCTAAAGTTGCGGTTCTGATTACTTAAGTCACAAATTAGCATTACCAATTAAAGCAGATAAGAAATTTGTTAGTATCGAGGCTGTGCACATAATAAGAAAACTGATTTTCGAATTGTATATAATAATAATAATTTATTCTCAAATAACATTTTGTTACATGAGGCATGCCAGTTTACAGGCAAGATCAAATTGCTACAAATGATACAATTTCCAACTGTAGTAAATTACTCAGCTGGGTCAATAATTTATAAGATATGAATGTAGAATGGTTGTAGACAGTATCACAGTTGGCGCGCTTCATGAAAGTTGCGTTGCGACGTGCAACTGATGGTCGGTAATAGATTGATGTGCAGTTGAGGGCTTCTAGAAATCGCAATCTTATATCCCTTTGGAATATTTGAGGTTTTAAGGATGGTGCAGGACCAAATCACCAGTTCTGTATCTCAAGGAGGCTGAAAAACGGTGCAAGAAAAAAGCAAAAAAAGGACGAGAAGCAGAGCAGACAATGTTCATGAAGAAACAGTTAAGGTATGACCACTCAGTCTGATTCTCTTTTATTAAAGTATTTAGTAAGCAGGAGCATCCTAATAAGTTAAAGAAAATAAGTGTTAACAAGGTGTGAATGGATAAATAACTGAAAAATGGAGGTGGTTCAGAAAAAGAACTGATAGTATGGGGATATGTGTGGTTATAAAATAAGTGTTAAAAACAGTGTTATGATACACAAATGGCTGTCTCCCTTTTTTATCGACGCTATTTGAGCCTCTTTTAGATTTTATAGGGTCTTGTTGGGCTTCGTTTTTTTATCGAATTGTCTAGTTTACTTGTAATATGATTACTGGGTAGGAAGTGAAACAAATTCAATGTTCGAAACACGATTTAATGAAGTATTTAGCGTGATAAATCAGCATCAATACCACTAGTTCGTGACATTCCACTAGACCATAAGGAGCCGTAATTTAACAAAAAGTTCTGCCCTACAGACATAGGTGGATTGAAGTTATCTCCACGCCATCATGTTTGCTGGTCAGTAACGTCACCCTCCCTCATTTAAAGGAGGGATATTGCAGCTGGGCAACAATTTACACTATTTAAATCTAAGCTCACAGTTGAGAATTGAAACTCTTCACGGTTTTTGGATGATGTAATTGATTGTCCTGTGTACGTTCACTTATATGTATCAGAACATTTAATGTGGTTGCTTATTTGGCTAAACGCTTATATGAAAGTGACCATTAGGCGGGCCTGGACTAGATTCAAGGCTATATATACCAATATTCGAATCATTTAAAAAAGTGGTAATATAGAGGATTGAAATTTGATATTGGCAATGTTAATCTCGAACATTTTAACCCACACTTTAGATAATACGTTTATCTATGCAAAATTCCAATAGGTAGGGTTCAACCCACAGTGCCCTCATGAACAAAAATCAATTTAATAGCGAAATCAAAGAATAAACTGTCATCCATAGATATGTTAATTACCGGTACATAAATATTTATGATTCACGCATGCAGAAAAACAAACTATACAGATATAAACACCATTCGGAACACTTAAAATCATGTTGAGCTGCATAGAGTCCAGAAGGCTAAACGAGACTTCTAATATAAGGAGAAATAGAAAAAAATATTTGGAAAAATAGTTGTCGGCAAACCAGTCTTTAGATGATGTTCACCTTATGCTTGATAGTCGCTAATTGTTATGTCGGAATCACTTATTACTTATGCTTGTAAAACAACGAACCACTATAATACTCACGACGCCAAGTTAAAATACTAAAACTGGTACAAATAAAGATATATTGACCACAAAACACAACGACAAACCTAGTCGACAATACAATAATTTGTATACTGGTTATACACCCATCCCGATTTCTATTTAGGATGACATTGTATATATGAAAAATACCCTGAGATATAACAAATCACATGCGCGCGTCATGATGAACATAGTTCATGTTGATTTAATACAAGAATACCGTATCGTCAGTAAAAATTACACCCGAATGAATTAATGTTATACCGAATATCACACTGTAAAACAAAAGTACACTGAGCAATCATCACATTGAATTAAAACGGAAGTAATATTCAATTAAAAGCACAATGAGTAAAACAATGTAACGAGTGATATGTCCACGAGATATCCATTAAGTTTTTAAAACACCAGATATAAATGTTACAATTACTATTATACGGGATGGAAAAAAACAAGATAATTAAAATTAATATTTAATATGTAGATGTAGGTGTGAAAAAGACTTCGATAGACAGGAGTTCTAACTTTCTCCTCATCTACAAGAGTTTCAACTAACTTTGTGACACAAAGCTATCGCTGGCGTTATGACGACGCTTATGAACAAATTTGAACATTAACTAATCTAACGAAACACAAAACCGAGGAATATCTACAGACATGATAATAAATTAACTGGCCAACTAAAGATGATTTTGAAGATGATTCAGTTTGTCAGTTGATAAGAAATGATGCATGACCTTATCGTCAGAAATTAAGTCAGGAGGAGAGTCAGTAAGATTAAGTGCGAAAATATTGCTTAACCGGAATGTACCAAGATAGAGAATTCTACTAGTTCACCCTAAACTGAAAATAGCTTTGGAGTGATAAAACCATAACAAAATATGAGTAACCGATGTTACTTGAAAGTTCTTTTTTGAATGACCACTACAAACAGATCTCACTAGATTATTAAATGTCCTCGAGCATATCGATCAACCATGGCATGAAGAGAAACACAAATGTAGTCTCATATTGGAAAGTATTCCAAGATTGCATCCACGAAAGGTGGAGGACGACCTAAAATGTTCAACAGAAGTGTTGCAATCAAACCAAGACTGCAGCCAATAAATCAGAAAACGGAACGGAATAGGTAGTATTAGAAGGTGCCATAAGTATTCGGAGTTTGACAACTCCTCGACTCGTAGAACCTTTAAGATCGAAGTATACCACGCAGTCAAAACAGAAGTCAGAAATGAAGGGTTTCGAAGATACTTTTGGGAAACCATCGATATGCCCAAAAGCGTTTGATCTAGGCTGACTAGCAGTTGCAAGGGATGTGTAACACGGGGTATACATGCCTAACCTGGTGTGCATGACAGGGAGCTTTCAGCTAGTGCATCCTGCAAAACTAATGTAAGCATCAATCTTAAAGACTAACAGAGCTAAATAAGAGCTTTCGTCTAAATCTAAACGGATAGTTTCACAGTATTTGGGCGCCGAGTTGATGTGGAACATTAAGGATGAAGAATGTAGTTCGGAAATCTCAGAGTGTGAATTTGAAGTAGATTAATTCGCGGAGTATTAACAAATACATTCTTACTTGTCAATGACTTAGAAAGCTATTTATGTTGGGGATTTGTTTACCGCTACATATTTGTTTGAACGTTAGTAGTGACGCAGTTATTATTTCTTCATAAGTAGAATTTTTGTGTATTTAAAACATATGCTCGAAAAAATTAATGCAAATACACCTTCGCGTTTATAGAAATCTGTAGATCACCAATGCAGATGATCTATGTCGAGTGATAGAGGGCCTATTCGAGTCAGACGTGAGTGGTGTGACCAACAGCTAAATTAGAAGTCACACCTTGAGGTCAACATCAAACGTGGATTATCCCTCCGTCGTATCGAAGTGGTACGGCTGCCTTGAAGACCTCGCAACACGAAGGATGTTGTTACATAAATGTATAGGTAATAGTAGGTACAAAGTAGAAGTTGCGAGCACCATCGCATTGGCCAGTCCTTCGTATGCAATCAATTGATGTGTGTTGGTTGTTCTCGATTTTTACGGGGATCGATTAACTACTCCAGTTTCAGTGACCCAACTGTCGGATGATTTGGCTAGGGCTTAGTGACCTTTCACTGGTCCTACATATTATTAAATCTACATGTCGATATAAAATAAATAGGTAATTTAGGTATAGTGCACAGTAGGGTAATAAAGGACTTTTAACCCATCAAATATATTATCGAGACTCAGAACAGTTATCAAATTAGAGCGAAAGCAAAGAACAGATGATATCCATGTTAACTACCAGTTTACCCAGTATGACCATAACCTAGAATCTGCTGGTGAAAAAATAATATCTGCTGCCCTCGTTGTCTTTTTCCAAGGAATTCCGGATAAATATGTTGACATACTAGAAAAGGACTAATGCAGAACTCTGACTTTCAGTTTCAAAGCGAAGAATCGGAATCAAAATACCGTAAGTAGAGAAAAGAAGTAGTCTGCTTTAGGATTATAAGAATTGGAACTATGAGTTTTAGCTGAAAACAAACACGAAATATTTTATCGTGATTAGCATCGGAATATTTCTTTGTTAGTTAAAATCTCAGTGTTGTTTGAAGTGTCATCAAGGTTACCTGGACCCTCCCGGCCTATCAGCTGTTTTCTAGTTTTCATCATCGAAACAGCTGATTGTCATTCGTGGCGTGTGGCTTACCACTTAGGCGCAACAAGCTAGAAATATAACAAATGCACGAATTGAGGTTTTCAACTTTTACTTACAAGAACAGAACGGTAGCTTTGCCTTAGAACGTCTGGGACAATCTCCGTGAATACATGCAAAGCTATTCAATTAAATATCCAAATTAATACTAAATCCCGAAATCCTTAAGCATGATTGACAATGGTTCTTTAGAAAATGCACCAAGTAGGTTTAGGTGTCACAGTATCATTAATTTCCCAAGTCCCTAATTCTAAGTTATGTGGTAGCAACCAAAGTCCTGGTGTTCTACAATGTATATGCAGGTTCATATTGTCTCAGCAATCCAAAATCTATGGCGGATTAGTCGAATATATAGATGGAGCTAGTATCGGGGCACCTAGAATTAATAAGAATGAAGGGGATAAAGTGTTTACCAAGGCATGTTGTTTGCTCGACTAACCCATTTTCTTAGGATAATTGTTGTGATGACGTTCGACGAAGTTCTCAATGCGATAAATTGACGCTAACCATCGAAACACTTTTCGTCGGAGAAAACTGCTTAGAACACTGTGGAGATAATCAGCTTCCTGTTTATGTTATGGAGCAATGGACAGTACAAGTTCTCCCTCAGAAGTAATTCAATGATACTTTTAATGTGCTCACACATTTTGTTTGATTTTTTTGTTATTATTCTGCATCCTGGGTATTTAAAAGGTTGTAATTTAAGGCAATCTACCTGAATTTGCTAGTCATAGTATTTGTTTTTAAGTACACTGAATTTGATTTTGTCTGTTGTTTCATTTGAAACTTTCAGTTCTAGAAATAGGGGAATCTCTATTTCCGGTTGTCAGATTGAGCTCTTGGACTACATACAAACATCCCCTTTAATGGCTGCAATCAAAGAACCAGGACGTCCTCGCAGATATAAGCTTACTCACAGGTTAGTGTCATCTTTTTTTCTAAATTTAGTAACTAGTTGTCTTTTTGAGTACTGTTAACTCCATTCTTGTTTGTCTTCCTTCACAGATCCTATGTATGCGATCGTATTTCCCACGTGGGTGACTCTTTTCTTATGGATGCATCAGATATACTGAGTATGGACTGTTTAAGTGACAGAAATAAAAACAGTCAAGATGATGATCATGATAGTAGTTCAGACTCAAAAATAGTTCGTCAGATGGATGGTTGTGAAAGTCCTATTAAACGAGTTTTTACACCTGTTTGTATTAGTGAAAAGGAACTCTTGCACATCACTGTTGTAACGCTAAAACATCTTCCTCAACAGATTCTTGGTTGTCCACTTTGTCTAGATTCAACTTACTTAACGAATAAAGATAGCTTCACTATGCTTAGTCGTGCTAGATGTCATTCACCTGAAACTCTTATAGACTTGAATGTTTGTAAAAAGAACACTGCACTTGTTTCGCACATAACCTACGGGAAGCCCAATGTTCATCCGCCAAACTTTCTTAACTTACCTAAATGCTCTTCAAACGAAGAAGTTGTCAGAAGTCCTATTGTTGTCATGGCAGATACAGAAGAAAGGTTTATGCAGTCTACGTTTGATAACCCCTTTTACAACATTCTACCACCCTGCTCTTCTTGGGATTGTACCGAATCAGGTCACTCGACTTTAACAAAAAAGTCATCTCGTTTAACTGAATCCAATAGAATATGCCAGATTCCTCTAGAGTCACCTCCCCGTAAACAGCAACGTATCAGTTGTTACGCTCATGAACTTACTTCCGAAACAAAAGATTCAGATGACTCCAATGAACTGCCCTCTTCCGTCACCCCTACTATAAACAAAACTCCAGGTGTTCAACGTGAAGGTTGTATTAATAAAGTAATTGCAGAATTCACGCTACTGAATGTCGAACGTGATCTAATTATGAACTCAGTTGACGATTCAAATATTGGTTCAGTATGTATACCACCTGTTAACGCGTGTTTTTCTTCTTCCCTCGATGTGCATCGAGACTCCATACAATGTAGCCAACTCAGTTATAGTACGGCTAAAAAACGTGACCACGCGTCTGAATCTCAACTAAGCACAGATTCGGAGGATTCAGTGCTATTAACATCACCGAGTGCTAGTTCTCAGCCGGTGCCTAGACTAAGTAGGAGACGAAACGCTACTTCCGTCTCCGTCTGGCCTTCATCATCGTTTCACAATGACGGCACTCCTTTCTTCAACCGTCGTACTGGATTGCCTTTACAATCATCTCCGGTAAGTCTGGTCTTTCGAATTTCAATGATTTTTCGAAACACATTTTTCTCTCACTCATTTGGCAGGTGTACGTAAAAATATTAATCTACAACTTTCGTATATGATATCCTGAAGTAGATGTGTTTAGATGACAAGCGTCCGACTTGAAGCATTCCATTCTTCATGTGACTCCTAAGTGAGCAAAAGTAAAAGTAGACTCAGATCTTGACAATATGAGTGTTCGAAAGGGTTGTTAGCCTCCATTAACTTACTAAATATACTATACTGGTTTTATTAAGACTAATTTGTGATAAGTTGAACCTGGATATTCCATAATGGCATGTAAAAACTATTTTCTATTAGCATCGTTTTGTAAGTGATATACTTCATGAATGTCAAAGTTATATTCATCATAAAGTATAACTAACTTGTCATCGCATTCTATAAGTTAGTATTGCAGCTATTTATATGGAGAATAATATCCTACATATCACCCTGACTTTGATTTAAATGGCACAAATTCTATTAATTCAACTACTGTTTGACTGTCGTCTAGTGGTTAATGAGCTTAACTTTCGACTCATGTCCAAAATCCACATCATTTACCTTGACTAAGGTTACCGTGTAGTATTATTAGCCCTCCTAGAGTGTGGATCATACTCAAATACCTAGTGAATAATATTGGTAATTATTATTATTATTTTAATTTTTTAACACATAGATATGGGTACAAGGAGGTACCAAATACATATGCGACACACAGATTTCATTTGATATATGTGAGGGCTATGATACTGCCCGGATGCTCAAACCGAAGCAGATGATTTTCTTAGGAGGCCACACCCCGAGCCTTCGACCTGAAGATCTGATCCACAAGGCAGTGGAGCATTGTAAGGAAATGCAGTCTCATGGTAGCCGGTGACCAACGATTGGTTCATACGCCATTTGTTCCCTCAGGCAGAATACTGGAGCCAGCCTATGTGCACCATTGATTTGGGATCAGGTTAAAGCGCCGGATGGGTTGGTGTCTGACGAAATCTCAGCACGGATTCGAAAAGCTTGTTTGGCTTTTGCCAACTTACGTCACCTATGGCGAAGGCGAGATATCCGTCTATCAATTAAGAGACGAGTATACTGCGCAGCAGTTCGTTCTGTTCCATTATACGGCTGCGAAACATGGCCTTTTAGAGTAGAAGATACTCATAAGTTAATAGTATTTGACCACAGGTGCCTTAGAAATATTACTCGAATCTGCTGGGATCACCGGGTAAGTAATAGTGAGGAAAACGCACAGGGCATTAGGGAATGATGGTAAATCAGTTGATGAGGTTATGAGTGTTCATCGACTGAGATGGTTGGGCCACGTGTTGCGGTAATACAGCAATTATAATGGAATACGTTTTCCACATTTTAGTTACTTACTTACTCCGTAAGCCCCCAAATGCCCTGGTATGGCTGAGAGTTGGGAGTGTCCATTCTCCCTCTCGAAATGCTCTCACATGGTCACGCGTATACAGCCTCTGCCAGGGAAGTCCTGCTCATTGCCTTCTCGTGGCAGGGATGATGTTTAGGAAAATGAGAGGACGAAAAGCGAAAATCGGACGCTTTAGCCGGATCCCAAACAAATGGTGCGCATGGACTGGCTTCAGTATCCTGCCTGAAAGAATAAATGGCGTATAAACCAATCGTTGGTCAACGGCTACCATGGGACTGCATCTCCTTACAATGCTCCACTGCCTTGTGAGTCAGACGTTCAGGTCAAAGGCTCGGGGTGTGGCCCCCTAAGTAAACCACCTGCTTCGGTTCGGGCACCCGGTCAGTATCACAGCCCTCACACATATCAAATGAGATTTGTGTGTCGCATATGTATCTGGTACCTCCTTGTACCAATATCTATATGTTCAAATAAAATAATTAAAATCATTTAATGTTATCTTATACTCAATTGAATGAATAACAACACCTATATTTGGTAATATTGTGTAATTTGTATATAAATAGAATTTACATTAGTTTTCTTTGTTTAAAATGACGTATGTCATTTAAAAAAGAAAGAATTACATTTATTGTTACACTTTAATGTACTAATACTTTTTCTTGTGGGGGGGGAAGAGTAAAGGGAGAAAGAAGAGGAGGACAAGGAGGAAGTGGTGGGAGGTGAAAGGTAGGAGGAGAAGGGGAATAAGTTGCTAGGACATGAAAAATAATCTATAAATTATACAATTTTAGTAATTTATTTTTAAGTTATGATTATTAAAAAACAGACAATCAACTGGCTTAATGGATAAATATATATGCATATATGTGGTACTTTTATTTATCACTAAGTGGATTAAGTAATGTATAGATCATTGTATTAATGTTCAATGTTTCATCAAGTTTTATGGTTGGTTACTTATTATATAAATATAAAGATTGTTTTATGATTTATTATCCTACGCAAATTATCACTCTATAGAGCATATTTATATTTAAAGAGAGATTTTGTGATAGTTGAATTTATAATGAATTTAAAGCTAAACCACTATGGTAAATCTGGAAGCATTGGGGACAGTTGAAGAGTCTCGTAATGAGACGAAACGACCATCTAATGCTTTTAGGTTTTTCATGATGATTTCACTTCTATTGACTCATGAAATCAACTATTAAATTATATATTTATATGTTAATTAGATAAAGATTATGCCGTACAATGGAATTGTTTTGAGAAATGTATGTAAGTCAAATATATTTAAGTATTTACTTATTTTAATACATAGATATTGATACAAGGAGGCACCAAATACACATGCGACACACAGATCTTATTGGATATGTGTAAGGACTGTGATACTGCCTGGGTGCCCAAACCGAAGCAGGTGGTTTTTTCTAGGAGGCCACACCCCGAGACTTCGACCTGAGGATCTGATCCACAAGACAGTGGAGCATCGTAAGGAGATGCAGTCTCATGGTAGCCGGTGACCAACGATTGGTTCATACGCCATTTGTTTACTCAGGCAGAATACTGGAGCCAGCCTATGTGCACCACTGATTTGGGATCCGGTTAAAGCTGTGGACATTCGCTTTTCGTCCTCTTATTTTCTTAAACAACAGTAAAGCCACGAGAAGGCATTGAGTAGGACTTTCTTGACAGTGGCTGTATACGCGTGGTCATGTGAGAGCATTTTGAGAGGGAGAGCGGACTCTCCCCACTCTCAGCCATACCAAGTCATTTGGGGTCACCGGCTTCCATGGGACTGCATCTCCTCACGATGCTCCACTGCCTTGTGGGTCAGACGTTCAGGTCAAAGGCTTGGGGTGTGGCCCCCTATGAAACCACCTGCTTCGGTTTGGGCACCCGGTCAGTATCACAGCCCTCACACAAATCAATTAAGATTTGTGTGGCGCATATGTATTGGTTGCCTCCTTGTACCAATACCTATGTGTTAAAATAAATAAATGAATAAAGGGCATTCGGGGGTAGCTATTTATTTGTTTTAATTTATTCAAACACATAAAAATTGGTACAAGGAGGCACTAAGTAGATATGCGCCACATAAATCATTCGATTTGTGTGTGCTTTTATACTATTCGGGTGTCCAAACCGAAGCAGGTTGTTTTCTTAGGTGGCCACATTTACAGTTTTCGACCTAAAGGTCGAAGTCACATGGTAATCGGTGACCAACAATTAGTTTATACGACATTTGTCCACTCAGGATACACGAGCCCATATGTACCATTAGTTTAGAATGAGGGTTTTCCATCTCTCCTAGGTGGATTCTCCGTGTCCATCAACCCAGTTGAAGGGCCGAGCATTTGCTTTTCGTCCTCTCAATTTCACAGTAAACACCCCCGATACGAGAAGACAATGAGTAGGACTTCCCTGGTAGTGGTTGCATGCATGTGGCCATGTGAGAGTATTTTGAGAGGGAGAGGTGACTCCTTTCATTCTTGGCCGTACCAGGGCATTTGGTGGTATATATTTAAGTATATCTTAATGCTTACTCTGATCTAATAAAACCATATTTTGTGTCCAACCATTATCATTTGATTGATCAATTTGCCGATGTAATTCAATTTTTTTGAAATATATATATATATATATATATATATATATATATATATATATATATATATATTATATATAATATATCATCTCTCTTATACTTATTAGGTTCCTCTCAAAAGAAGTACAAGTGGGAAGTTTGATTTCGATTTATCATTGAATCGTATGAAAACATCTAGAAGGTAACATTCAAATTGTATTTCTTTGTTTTGCTTTTATCATAATGATAGTATTCTACATTACAATTTGATCAGTAGAATGTGGTCAGCATTAAAGCACTAGATAAACATGACGTTTGTTAACACACAACGATCAATTGTAGTTATGTAGTTCGTACAAGAAGTCAGTGACGTCCTGAATCGCTCTTTGGTGACACCTTGGAATGTAAAACTGAGTGACACTGGTTTGAATCCTATGGGGGGGGGAAATCAGTTCCTTCAGGATTACCGATACACCTTGTTTATAAATTCCAACTCGTACAGAACCTCAGGAAAACAAGGTTTCTTGCTGAATACCTCCAACTGCCTAGGTATTCAGTATGGAATTCGGTGTTGTTGTAGTAGCCTAAATCATGATTTGATGTTTCCAAATTTATCAGCTGTGTCTCAGATTGAACATCAACTTTGAGATACAGTTACATCCAGCTGACGAGTACCAAATGGAACGTAACATTCATCCTGCATTCCATTGCCAGTCACTATCTATCTTTGCTTAGAATGCTTGTAAATTAAGGCGATATCGAGACCATCCACACAGTATGGATATATGCCATTAAGAGACTGATCAATTGCATTCCCAAACATCAATACATACATTAATTGTTACTATTGTTAATACAAACCTAAACACTTTTATCAAGACAATTTTCGTATTTCTACAAGTGGGAGCGGGGATTGATTCTTTGAGTTGTTGAATTTCCATAGTTTACATCGTGGATTAATTGTAGTTAAAGAGTATTAAACACTAAAACAGAATAATTTTGTCTTTAATAGATCATGATTCCCATCCCACTTTATTTATTTGTTTGAACGCATAAATATTGGTACAAAGGGGGACTGAATACATATGCTCTACACAAGCCACTTGATCTGTGTGTGGGCTGTGATACTGACAGGATGTCCAGACTGAGGCATATGGTTTTTCTACGGAGCCACACCCCGAGTCTTCAACCTCAAGGTCTAATTCACAAGGCAGTGGAGCAACGTCAGGAGATGGAGTCACATGGTAGCCGGTAACCAACAATAGGTTTATACGCCATTTGTTTGAAATCAGGGTCTCCCAGCTCCTTAGGTGGACCCTCCGTATTCACCAACCCGATTAAAGCGCTGTAAATTCGCTTTTCGTTCTCTCAATTTCGTAAAGAATAGTAATGCCACGAGAAGGCAGTGAGTAGGGCTTACCTGACAGTGTTTGTATACATGTGACCATGTAAAAACATTTCGAAAGGAAGAGCTGACTTTCCTCACCCTCGGACGTACCAGGACAGCTTTCCAACTCGATCACTATCGATTCCCTAAGCAATGTCATTCCAGGTTCTATGTGGATACTATTCTTAAAGTTTTACGTCAGGTCTTGATAAGTGGTACATTCAACGGTTGGTTTATAACATTGAACCATAGGCTGTTGCGTTCTATTTGTTAGCTTTCGTTATTATTCTGGATAATCTCGTAATTACCTACGTCGATTAACTTATACTTGAATTGGACACTGACTTAATTGTCCAGAATGATAATAGAAGCATTTCATTTTGCTAAAACGATCAAATTTTATTTCTCGTTCAAAATTCTTTCATTTATGTTGTGCATGAATAATAATTAGACTTTATAATTGCTTTCTGGTCGTAGAAAGTCTTCTGCTCGTGAACTCCATACAGAAAACACATGGTGGGAAGTATGCAAAAAGTTTTATTTCGACAATTGATGAATGTACAAAAATCAAGGGTGTTCACAGGATTATGAATGACCCCGTAATTCCGGAAAAAAATTGTTATCGCTGCATTTCATCATAAAAACAATTGTAATCACGATGTAAAATTACTTACGCTTGTTACCTTTTGTAGTGGAGTATAAACCAATCACCAGCACTCTTCGTCCAATCTTGTCCTGGTCAAGCCCCCAAATGCCCTGGTACTGCCAAGAGTGGGGTGGGCCCGCCCTCCCTCTCAAAATGCTCTCACGTGTCCATGTGTGTATAGCCTCTACCTGTGAAGTCTTACTCACTACCTTCCCACCAACGGGGTGTTGTCTACAAAAATGAGAAGACGAAAAGCGAACCAATCGTTGGTCACAGGCTACCATGTGACTGCATCTCCTTACGATGCTCCACTGCCTTATGTATCAGATCTTCAGGTCTATGGCTCGGGGTGTGGCCTCTTAAGAAAACCACTTGCTTCGGTTTGTGCACTTGGGCAGTATCACAACCCTCACATATATCAAATGAGATCTGTGTGGCTCATATGTATTTGGTGTCTTCATGTACCAATATCCATGTGGTGAAACCTTGCCAGTTGCTATTTATCCGTTTTATATCTATTTCCATTTCCCAACGTAGTGTATTATTCAACCTTGCTCTTTACCACTATTAAATGATTCAATATTTCCGGTATCTTATGACCGTATTATGTATGTGTATTCATACGTAATCGTAAACATACAAGGTTCTTTAGGTTAAAAGTTTACATTTCCGGAGGGTATCTATTCGAATTGTGTAGAATATAATTACCGATCACATTCAATTATTGACCTCTTTTTAGTCTTCTTCTTCTTCTTCTTTCCTAATATCGATTTTGTTCAATATCGATTATTTTTCTTTTTTTTTTGTTTTTTTTAAGCTCTATTTGTATGGTATACAATCATAATTTGCAAAATTCCAGTGAAATCAATACAGATCCTGTTAAAGAACCTTCATCAGGGATAGAATGTTTAAAATCTAACAAAAAATTTAATAATAATGATAATAAATCATATCAGACTATGACATCATTTCGTCGACGACCATCTAGTTTACGATTTACATCTGAATATCAAGAAAAATCATTTGAACGTAATACTGTTAATAGTTCTATGATTGACAATTCTAAGAATCGACATACTACTGTATCTGGAACAAGACGACGTAATTATCCTATAGAAATAGATTCAATTGAATTAAGTTGTAGTGCACCACCATCTGGTGATCGTAGTTTTCAACCATATAAAACTATAACAAATCGTTTAGCAAATACTATGGCATGTACACCAGTACCACATGGTAGTTCACAACATTTACTAGTTAATTTTGAAGTAAGTTCTCTCTCTCACTTTTTTTCTTTTTTTTTTTAGAATGGATATTAACGTTAGTTCATTTATAGCGGATATTTCTATCCCCTGTTGTTAAAGTTAAGACCTCCCGACCGTTGTTACTACCTTGACATGATGGTCGGGCTTGCCTATCATGATGAAGCAACTGAGCTATACTGGCTGGAACAACCGTTCCTCAAGATCCTACAATGCCAGATAGGTTGGTTGAAGAGCGGTAAGACTAAAAGCAACAAATCCAACGTCCGACGATGAAGTTGTACTGCTGACTGTACAGAGGTGTGACAGCAGTAGGATGTTCCCTTCAGACAACCAGCATAACAGCGATGCTGCCTTCCCACAAGGAGGGGTGGGGTTAGAATAGGTTGACCCTAAAAATACACACCTCGCCTTATCCCACGGATTTCGGTCTCCGGTGTTAAGGTCTCAACAAGTACGGAACTAACACAAAAATTACTCATAAAAAGGTCGTGTGTGACCGACCTCAAGCAGCTGTCCCTTGGGCACTGCGGCCACGCTCTCAGGTCACTATGACCACCTCTAATCCATTTTCCTTTTCAGATACCAACACTGAATTAACTACTTCTGTGAATGTAGTGTTCATTTTGTCGTGCTGATGCGGTATGGTAACTTGGACAGATGCATATATGTGCCTGGTCCTACGTTGCATCTGACTGACTGACTGAAGTTAAGACCTACAGTTGATCAACCTGTTTGTTTTGGCATATGTGCATCTTGTTTATTTGTTTAAACATATAAACATTGGTACAAGGAGGTACCAAATATTATATGCGCTACATAAATCACTCGATTTGTGTGAGGATTAGGATATTGGCTGGGTGCCGAAACCGAAACAGGTGGTTGTCCTGAAGTTCTACACCCGAAGCCTTTGATCTAAAGGTCTGACCCAAAAGGCAGTGGAGCAACGTCAGGAGATGCAGTCCCATGGTAGCCGGTGACCAATAATTGGTTCATACGCCATTTGTTTTTTTAGGATACTGGAGCCCATTTGCACCTTTGGTTTGGAACTAGGGTTCTCCAATCCCTTGGGTGGACCCTCCATGTCCACCATTCTGTTTAAAGCGCTGGACACTCAATTTCGTAAACAACCGTAATTCCGTGAGAAGGTAGTGAGTAGAACTCTTCTGGCAGTGGTTGTATGCATGTGGCCATGTGAGGGCATTTGGAGAGGGAGAGTGGACTCTCCCCACCCTCGACCATTTTAGGGCATCCTGTGCGGATCGCCTTAATATTGTCATTAATTTCGAGGAATAATACTAATTTTAGTTAATCTTTCATCAAGTCTTGAAATCGGCTATTTCATCTTAATTTCGAATTTTGCTGAGTATGTACATTACCGATTGTAATTTTAGTGACTTATAGAGATTTAAGCATACAACGTTCAACAACTAAATTCCCATGTTCGAAACCCACCACATCTAGTTCCGTTTTTAACTCGTTGAATAGTTTTACTGATTATTGCACAAATAGATTAGCTTAAAAACATGTACTTGATAAATGAGTTACATTTTCATACGCCATTTGTTCCCTCAGGCAGGATACTGGAGCCAGTCCATGTGTACCATTGGGTTGGGATCCGGTTAAAGCACCGGACATTCTCTTTTCATCCTCTCATTTTCGTAAAAAACACCCTGTTGGTGGGAAGGCAGTGAGTAGGACTTCCCTGTCAGAGTCTATATACGTGTGGTCATGTGAGAGCATTTGGAGAGGGAGAGCGAACTCTTCCCACTCTCGGCCATACCAGGGCATTTGGGGGCCTGGGATTCTAACCCACTGCCTTTTGTTTCAAACCCTAACTTGTTATCCACTAAACTACTGAGTCCTTTTCAATCAATAGCTTGTTCGATTGAATGTGTATTTTATTTTAAAGGATTTATTCTTTATTGGAATATGCGGATCCTGATCTAATTGCTTTGGGATTTTCATCTCATCACAAATGTTTTTTTCTAATTATTATTATTTATTATTTTAACACATAAGTATAGGTACAGGGAGGCACCAAATACATATTCGCCACACGAATCTCAATTGATTTGTGTGAGGGCTGTGATACTGCCCGGGTGCCCAAACCGAAGCAGGTGGTTTTCTTAGGGAGCCACACCCCGAGCCTTTGACCTAAGGGCCTAACCCACAAGGCAGTGGAGCATCGTGAGGAGATGCAGTCCCATGGAAGCCGGTGACCAAAAGTTGGTTCATACGCCATTTGTTTCTTCAGGATACTGGAGCCCATGTGCACCATTGAATTGGGATCCGGTTATAGCGCCGGACATTCGCTTTTCGTCCTCTTTTTTTCGTAAACAACACCCCCGCCACGAGAAGGCAGTGAGTAGAACTTCCCTGGCAGAGTCTATATACGTGTGGTCATGTGAGAGTATTTCGAGAGGGAGAGCGGACTCTCCCCACTCTCGGCCGTACCAGGGCATTTGGGGGCTTTCTAATACTGTACATTGGCTAGCTTTTTAAGTCTCAGAAATCTATTCAGGATTGACATATATCATATCACTACGATCTCGTCATTATCACTCTGATTATTTGACCTATGCAAGTTTACAATTTTCTACATAATTTAGATCAATAATTTCTGATCCCTTTAATTACATCTTGATCTTATTTTTAATTTCACTTTACTTTATTGATTGACCTATAGTGAATGACTTTATAAACACTGATCTATTTCACCCCTATCCTTTATATATCATCTATTCTCTTTTATTTATTATCGATATATAGTATATTAAGGTTGAGTAAGAAACTTAGTTAATGATTATATCAAAATATCCATAGTGGATGTCTGAATGTTTGGGATGCGCTTCTCTCCCTCTAAATTCAAATTGTTGCTTTAGGACTGGTCTGTGTCAACACCTGAACTAAGGATAAGGAGTGAAGTAGTGGAGCGCGTTGACGGTTTCACTTATCTCAGAAGTCTAATCAGCCCTAATGGGTTGGTGCGTGACGAAATTTCAGTACGGATTCGAAAAGCTCGTTTGGCTTTCGCCAACTTACGTCACCTATGGCGAAGGTGAGATATCCGTCTATCAATTAAGGGACGAGTATACTGCGCGGCAGTTCGTTCTGTTCCACTATACGGCTGCGAAACATCGCCAATAAGAGTAAAAGATACTCGTAAGTTACTAGTATTTGACCACAGGTGCCTTAGAAATATTGCTGGTATTTGCTTGGATCACCGAGTAAGTAATACTGAGGTTAGATGCGCAGGGTATTAGAGAATGATGCTAAATCAGTTCATGAGGTTATGAATGTTCATCGACTGAGATGGTTGGGCCACGTGCTGCGTATGCATGAACACCGATTACCACGACGTGCAATGCTAACCGGTGTTAGGGATAATTGGAAGAAAGTTAGAGAGGGCGGCCAAACCAAAACGTGGCATCAGTACTTGAAGTCACTAATTAACGTCTAGTCTGAGCCATGTTGGTAGACGCAGACTGCCTGGTTGGTGTTGGCGTGACTATCGTAACCAATGGTTGGAGACTGTTGGTGACATGGCTTAGAATCGATCACAATGGCGTAGGTGTATACACTCTTCGCCTTCCTTTAAACTAAGAGATTAAAATCACTTCATATCTTTCTTTCTTCAAACTAATTCTTTCTTCCTGTACTATCCCCTTATATGCAATCTTTCTTGTATATATATATTACCACCACTGAATTAACCACTTCTATGAATCCGGTGTTGTTCATGTTGTTGTGTTAATGTTGTATGGCAACTTGTACCGATGCATATATGTGCCTGGTCCTACGTTGCAGCTGACTGAATGACTGAGTGGATGTTTTTAAAACAATTTAATCGATAAAAGGTGTATACAGATTGACCACTTGTACTTACTTACTGGTTGGCGTTGTCACTGTATGCAGCTTCTTGCCCATAACTTTATATCTGAGTTAATTTTGAGCCAAACGATACTTTCCGTAATCAGTTTTGTGGTGGCTCTGATCTCGGGATGGGAAAGTTCGTGTAGCCTTCGAAATACTTGTTGTCGACAAGCTTGTTGTGGTACAAAGGGGAGGTTACTGCCCGTTGAAACATCACAAATAATAGATGCGTTTGAGAAAGGGATAGGTATGGGTTTGAGGATCAAGTTAGACTTTTCTTTGCAGGTTTTTAGGTCTGCATCGTTTACTTGTAGTTTTGCTATAGTTTCAAGAATAATGTTATTTTTATGTACCAACAGATGACTTGGTCCTTCTATCTCATTTACATCAACAAATGCAAGTTAAGACAAACACTGTACCAACAGCCTCTGAAGCAATAGACCTCAACGTACATAAGAGAAAAAGCAAGATCCTCAAATACAACATGGTGGACACCAACACAATCGTACTTGATGGAGAAAATCTGAAAGAGGTGGAAACATCCACATATTGGTAACATCGTCAATTTTCGTGGAGGATCTGATGCAAACGTAAAGGTGAGAATTGACAAACAAGGGCAGTACTTGTTCAACTGAAGAACATATGAAACTTAGAGCAAATGTCTTCAAGCCAATATCGAATTCACAATCTTCAATGCGAACATCAACACAGTTATCGTGTAAAGAGCTGAAACGTGGAGAATTACCACAACCATCATCAAAAAGGTACAAGTAATTATGAACCATTATCTACACAACATACTGAATGTTCTTTCGTCGAATACCATCATCAACAGCCTACTGAGGAAGACAACAAACATGGTTACAACTGAAGAGTAAATTAGGCAAAGATGTTGGAAGTGGATATGACATACATTGAGGAAATCATCAAACTGTACCACGATGCAATCGCTAACTCGGAATCTTGAAGAGGAATAGAATACATGGCATCGGGAATCGAAAACACACATTAAAATGATGGGTATCAACTGGGAGGGATTGTGAAGGATAGAGTTTAATGATGAATTCTGTTGGGTGGCCTATGCTCTTCCATGAAGGGTTATAGGCGTAAGTAACTGATTAAGTATATAA